AGGCGACTATTGTTCAGTGGGTAGAGCCTTTCTCTTTTCTTCCTTGTCTATTGACTCTGGTCCTCTCCTTGGTGCTCTCTCTCTCTCTCTGTCTCTGTCTCTGTCTCTCTCTGTCTCTGTCTCTGTCTGTCTCTCTCTGTCTCTCTCTCTCTCCCTGTAATTCTTTTTCAGATATGGTTGAACCATTTGGCTCCTGAGATCTTTTATAACCCTGAAATACTTTGATTCTGTAAACTTCAGTTATTACTAGGGTGAATAGGAACTAATAGAAAATGTGTTATCTTAGGAAGCCTGGGAAAGGGGTCTAGTCTACAATCTATTTCATGCATTTTGATGGTCAGTTTGCATCTTGGACCATCTTAAAAATCATCATCATCATAATTATCATCATCAGTTGCTGATTATCCTCTCACACCCATGACTACTTGACATTGGGCAAGCAACTGCACTTCCTGAGGCCTCAATTTCTTTTTCATTAAATAAAGGAATATATCTACATAATTATGAATATCCCTTTCGACTCTACTGTTTTATTGTTCTATTGTTTTCTACCAAGAGCTTCTAGGGCACTATCCTAAATAATGAGAATATATGGGGATATTAGACACAGTTATTAAGTTTGAGGGATACATAGCCTAGTGGGGGAAAGAGAACAGGGACATAAAAAAAGAAAATATGGAAATGAAGTGGTGCCAATTGCTAAATGGATGGTGCAAATATTACAATGTGAACAAATGAAGAAAATGGAGAAATATTAGTATGAATTAGTCTAAAAGAAGAGATTTTCTGAAAAAAAAGAAAGGCTTGGTAGAAGGGACTTAAAGAAGTGACTGCATTTGATTTCTTAATCCAGATAATAGCTTTCTATCTTATCAGCTCTATTGAAGTCCTGCTAATCATTGTCTCACCTCTCCCATCCAATGTTCCCTGGGATCTCTAGGGTCCTTGTCCTCAAAAGTTCAAATGACTTGAAGTCCTCAGAGCTGACGTATATGTATTTGCTCCCGCAAGGCTCCAGATCAAAGTTAATCAGTTCAGGAACTTCTCACAGCCTTCAAAGGAGTAGAGGAAGTTTAGAGCCTAAAAATACTTGCCTATGGGTGTGATCCAAGGAATGGATAACTAGTCACACTAGCTACACCACTCTTTCCTTTCAAATCTTTTATCTCTATAAGCAAAGTCTTGATTAATTGAGCACAAAAGTTCATAAGCCAAGAAAAAGGGGGTTAGGAGGAGAAGTATGTTAAACAATGTTTACTGATCTATTCCATTCTTGGTTCTGTGGCTAAACAGTTCTATATGACCCTGGATAAATCACTTCATTTCCTTTAGCCATATGTAAAATGAAGGGAGTGGTGTACTGTGATTATGTCATTTGGAGGTGATATCTCTGGCTCCATCAAGGATGTAAGGACCTATCTCTGAGATCTGGGGATCATATATGATTGATAATGGTTTTTTCCCCATAATATTATTCCCATTTTTGGGTAGTTTCTCATTAGTACCTTGAACATTTAAAACACTGAGAATGTGAAAAAAAGGAAAATAACATAATTCTTGCTCTTAAGTAAATTAACAATATAGCAGAGGATAATACTTTAATATATCAATGAATTTATTATCTCATTGATGCTAGTACTTCCTACAGGAGAAAAGATTGTAACCCATACACTACTTTTCATTCTGTGAAGCTGTTGTCTATCTACTTTTCTTAATTTTACACAGGGAGACCCCAATATCTTGGGAACTTTAGGTCTCTAAGCATTGAATAGACATGAATGTGGCATATAGGTTGATGATCTGTTATCACCTGTTATTTTTTAAAACTTTTATTTAATATTTTATTCTCCCAATTACATGTAAAAACAATTTTAACATTCCTTTTTTTTTTCCAAATTTTGAGTTCCAAATTCTATTCCTCCCTCCCTACTCCCCCTTTTTGAGAAGATAAGCAATTTGACATAACTTATAAATGTATCACCTATTATTTCTATGAGATCGAGCTGCCTCCTTTTCTTGTCCTACATCTCGTGGTGGTGATCACAAATCATTGTTGACAATACCATGCATTGGTTTTCACCCACCACTTCTCCAATGTCCTTTTGTCGATCTGCAATAAGATCACAACGTTCCTTGATTTTGAATGAGATAACATCACCGGAGAAATACGGGTGTTCAAAAGTTGGATTTTATTTCAAATTATATAACTATGATACACATTAGAAGGAAGTAATCACATAGAAGAAGTCAAACTCAAGGGGATGAGAAATTTCAGCACAGGATTGTTTTTAGTTGGGGAAAATCAAGGAAGAATTCATAGAGGAAGTGGAACTTTATCTATACCTTCAATAGGTTGAAATGTAGGAGGGAACCTGTTCCAAGCAGGTGTATAAGTGCTGAGCATGTAGAAAGGAGAGAGCAGGTAGGGGACTATGAGATGTTTTTGATAAGGTGAGTAAAGTGGTCAGACCTGTGCTTTAGGAATCACTGGGAAGGATAGATTGGAATGAGGAAAAATTGGCTAGTGAGTATGGGTTGGGTTTCTCTGAATTATGAGGAAGTTTCAGTGTCATTTAATGAGTGTGATGCACAATTCCCAAGCTTCTGTTTAGGCAATTTATGAGATAAAGAAGAGTATTCACTATTGTACTTTCTACTATGTAATGTGCTATGTTTTCCATACTTGTTCTGTCCTGATAAATCCTAGAGATCTACTGGGGTAAGTTGTAAGAGTGACTATGGGAGGATAGGAGAACAAAGTTCTATTAAGAAAAAAAAAACAAGCAGGAAATAGGTCTTTGCCCTTGCAAATAGGAATAGGAATTAGAGACCAAGAGTAAATGCTATAAATGGAAGAAAAGTTCCAGGCTTAAAGAAGATGATGTAGAAGTTTCTGTCATGAAGAAGCTAAATGGCACAGTGGATAGAGTGCTGGACTTGGCATCAGGAAGGCTTGAGTTCAAATGTTGCCTCAGACAATTATTAGATTGTGACCTTGGACAAGTCACTTAACTTCTGTCTTCCTTAATTTCCTCATCTGTAAAATAAAGATAATTATATCTACCTCTTAACATTGTTATGAGGATAAAATGAGGTATTTATAAAGTACTTTGCAGACCCTTAAGTGCTGGGTATTTATTATTATTATCATTATTTTTATTATTATCATTATTACACAAACCCAACCAGTCTGTCTCTTATTACTGATTGGTAATGTGTTTCTGGAGGGCAGTGTACAGTTCTCCTGTCTTGACAGGATATAGAAGTAGATAGAGAATTACAAATATTCACTAAGGAAATAAAAATATCCTTTGTGAGTAGATTACTAAGCCTAGTGGAAGGAGCCATGGATTTGGAATCAAAAGGCCTGGACTTGAATATCACAACTCTATTACTTAGCTGTGAGGATGGGCAAATCGCTTAAATTCTCTGAGCCTCCATTTCTTTATATGGTAATGGTTTCAACTAGATTAAGGTCTCATCTAGTTCAAAATCCTATGATCATATGTTTCCAAGTCCTTACCTTGTCACTCGGTAGCTATGTGTTTTGTCTCTAAGCCTCAGTTTCCTTATCCACAAAATGGAGCTACCTGACTTGCCTGCCTCATGGCATTGTGAAGAGCAAATGAGATGATGGAGTTGGAAGTCCTTGACTAACTGTAAACCCTTGCACAAATGTAGGGATGTGTGTGTGTGTGTGTGTGTATGTGTGTGTGTTGTGTGTGTGTGTGTTGTGTGTATGGCTACACTAGTACTTTGGTGAATCCATGATCTCAATGATGTGGGAACTCTCTCCAACGGTGCAAATTGGAAGCCATTCATGCCTTCTCAAGCTACATGATTTTTGTCTTTGTTCTCCTATAAATCATCCATCCATAGACAATTCAAGCAATGTGCTGGAGGCCTTTCTTTATCTTCAATCCCATCCAATAGACACATATTTATTGTCTACTACCGGCAAGGAATTGATATGGACAAACACAATCGCAACTCACTGACAATTTTGAGAATTTGGAGAGGTTGGAAACTTTCCCAAACTAGAGGTCACCAGGAGTAGAGATGCTATGCAGTTTTGATAGGTATCTGTTACCATTGTCTAAAAATTAAATCCTGAATGAGAGTCATGGGTCACCACAAGTGGCCTCCCATTGGATTTGACAATGGGTAGTTGATACTTTTCATGGAAATTGCCATCTTTTTTGTTGCCTGCAGCATTTTGTGCTCATCCAGAAGGTGACAGAGCAGGTGGCACTGAAAGGAATGCCAACATCTCCATGGCAAATAGAAGGAATGGAGCAGGAGAAATGTCTGAAGCACTTCTCCATGCACCATGAAATACCAGTGACTACAACATAAGAGGAATCCAATTGGGAAGGACTCAGAGGCTGTGCGATTTGAGGCCAAAACCTTTGTGATTTGGAGGTACAAAAGACAGGGACTCTTGTTTGCATCTAAAACAAGGACTGTTTGGGGGTCACAATGAAGTAGTGTGTGGCCAACCTTTCCTACTCCATTAAACTAGCTACCTCATGGGACAGCACCACGTCCTACCCTCCAGGTCAGCAAGAGGTATCCATGGGACCATGAAGGGAGTATTCCTTAGGGCAAACTATCCCTGAGATATTCTTTTCCCCTTGGCTCCCTTTTCACTATTTGCAGAGTAGCCCACATCCTGCTTTGCCTGGATTGTCTTGAAGCATAGATTCCACCGGTAAATGCAGGTTCACCTATGTTCCAAGAGCACTTAGAAGTCTTCTTGTTGGATGGCAGAGAAGGAAGTGGCAAATTATATTATTGATTTCAAAGTGCTTTTACAATTGGAGTCATGCCAAATCTTTCAGGGGGCAATCAATCAGACACACCTATTCTGTTCCCATAGATTAGTGAACTGCCTGTGAGTTACTTACTTCCTTTTAATAGATTTATTGCAGCAATAGCAAGAGACTACACCTGAGAGCACGCCTTCTCATACCTCAGAGCATATAAATTTCAAAGTGTCTTTATTGAGATTGACAGGGACCCAGCAAAATGGGCATCTCCATATTCCTGGGGATAGGGCTGTTATGGTGCCAGCTTCTGTATGCAGGTACTGTCCTACTTAAATAAGTTTTAATGTTTTAGACCCTGGTCTTAGACTCTTTATTTCAGGAGAAATTTTGCTAAAGATGAAGGTAGCCAGTAGACCTTGGTTATGATTATTTACAAAGTATCTTACAGCAGGCTTTGAATAAGTGGTTTTTTCGTTGAATTGGATGAAAGATATTTTTTTCCTCCTTGGAGAACTATAAGCAGTTGGAACCAGAGCAGGCTAATTGCAATGTCACTGGATTCCTTAAATCATTGTCAAAGGATTGTTTGGTCTTGAAAACAACATAGCTGTTATAAAGTTATAGAGCATGTGGTTGAGGGATAGAATGTTATACCTTAGGCTTTCTGCATTTGTGGCTCAAATGGAAAGGAATGTTTGATCCAATGTAATCTCCATGATACGAGGATGGGCAGGACAGATGCCCTTGCTAATTTAATGTTTCTTAAAGACTTGTAACTTGCATTCTGCCTGCAGATATGTCTGTCTTAAAAATGCTTCATAATTAGAGTACACACATAGCTAAGTGGTTTGACGGTCGAAAAGGGAATTGGGAATTCACCCTTATGTCTGCCACAGCCTTTGCCAGATGGCCTAGAGCTAGCTTCTCACCCAAATCTGAGTGTCAGACGGAGTACATGGCTACATTCCTGCAGAGCAAGAGGCAAGCCTGGGGAGTACTGCATTCCGTGATTCTTTCTAAGATAATTTTCTCTGGGCTTACTGACTGACAAGTGCTTAGTCATGTTCTCATTAAATGGTCATATTGCTTTTAATTTTGTTTTTTGTCAGATTCAAGTGTTTCACAACTTTGTGTGTTTATTAAAGTAAATAATCATTCTTGGTTATCTTCATCTGGAGAGAAAAGATTGCAGGAGTCCCTGGGGTCATGTTCCACATGGCAAGTTAATTCCAATAAGATGCTAGAAGCAAACAGCCTTCTCCACCTCCCACTCCCAAAAGATTGAGTGATGATGAGTGTTGTAACTCATGTGTATAGATAGTGGTGTAGTTAAAAAGGCAGGTAAGTATCCTGGCTGGGGGCTCAAGAGATAGGTGAAAGTGCGGTTTTTAATATTTGTCATCTCCTCATTATTGCTCTTCCCACCACATATAAATCTTCAGCATCAGAAGGCAGCGTAGGACCAAGCTGCTTTGAGCACAGGGGATTTACAGACTCCCCTTCAGCGGTGTTCATTAGAGGGCTTGGGCTCTGAATGGCAAACCCAGCAAAGATCAGTCCCTTAGAGTCAGAACTTTCACATGAAACTCTGAAATGAGTTCAAAGCCCCATTGTCCTAATCCTGGAAATTACAAAACCATCAAAATTACTTGATAATGAAGAGCAAACATTATGAATTCCCACTTTCCAGGACTGAGATAAATTGATTTAGGTATTTATTGTTATGAAGGATTTTATGGCAACCCTGTCTATCATTAGCCAGGAGCAGGGTGGGAGCTCATGGCTCTAAACCCTGTCCATCGTCAACCAAACATAGCAGGACAGGCTGATGCCTCATTCTTGGATTCAGGGTCCTTCTGACTCTCCCCCGCAGCTTAACAAGGTAGACTTTCTTTTTGCAGCTACTCTAGTGATGCTCATTAAAGAGAATCTACTGCATGATGTGTATTTTTTTTAAATCACAATTTTAGGTGCCCATTAAAGAGAATCTACTATGTATATTTTTAAATTACAATTTTAGAAGCAGAATGGCATTTTGGATAGATTATTGGCCCTGGCATTAAGATATAGGTTTGCACATTGGCTTTGCCACTTAATAACCATATGACCTTGGAGAGGTTATTTTCCTTCTTCAGGTAACATAGAGTCATAAGCAAGCTAGAGAGGATTTTAAAGAACATCTCTTAAAAAAAGCACATCTGTCCATTTTCAAGTTAAGGAAACTGAGACATAAATAGTAGGTGGCAGAGAAGAGAATCAAGTTCAGACCTTTTGACTCTGATTAAAGTACTCTTGCCACTGTGATACACTGCTTTATAACTTGTCAGAAGATTATGTCAGAGTTATAGATAATAGAGATGAACTAATACAGCAATCTCGTTTAACCTTTTGTATCGACTGTAAACTTCTTGAGGGTCAAATAGTATAGGAAATGCTTAATAAATATTAGTTGTTTTGAATTGAATTTTATAGTTGAGGAAACTGAGGCCTAGAAAAGTGACTTGCTGAAGGTTATAGTGATTAAGTGGCAGACTTAGGACTAGAATATCTGTCCTCTGGCTCTTAAGTCAGTGTCTTTTTCACTGTGTCTCAATGATCTTGAAATTCCTTTCCCATTCACAATTCAGAGATTTCTGGGATGATCCACATTCTTCCTCAATTATTTGTGCAGCTCTCTCTACCTCCAGAACCCCGGGCTTTAGAAAAGAACTGTATTTCCTTAATTCCTAACTTTAGAGTAAAGCATTTAATTTTAGAGGTGGCGACACAGTGGCTCGAACTCAGTACTTCAACTCGGGAAAAACCTGAGTTCAAGTTCTGCCTCCAGCACTAACTAGCTGCATTACCCTTGCTGAAGTGCTCAAACTCTCTGAGCCTCAGTTTTTTCATTTGCAAAATGGGAATAAATGTAGTGTCTCTTTGATAGGGATGTTCTGAGAATCAAATAACATAATGTGCATAAAGTACTTTGCAAACATTTTTGTTAAGTGGTTTTTTAGGTGTATCTGACTCTTTGTGACCCCATTTGAGGTTTTCTTGGCAAATATACCAAAGTGGTTTGCCTTTTCCTTCTCCATCACTTTTTAAAAGATGAGGAAACCGAAGTAAAGAGGGTCAAGTGACTTGCAAGGGTCACAGTAAGTGTCTGAGGCTGGATTTGAACTCATGAAAATGAATCTTTGTGGGTCCAAGCCCAGTGCACTATGCACTGAGTTGCTTAGCTGCCCCTTGCAAACATTGAAGTGCTTTATAGTTGTGAGTGAGTCATTATTATGACTATTCCAGTAAGACACTCTTTTATTTGTCATTCTCGGATCTTGTCTCACGCAATGGGGCTCTCCTTTTGACATTTCCTTAGAGCAGATCTGCACAACATATGGCCCATGCCCCGCCAAAGGATTTCCAGGGGGGCCCATGAAAAATGTAGGGTTGCCACTGCCCACTTTTTCCTGGTTGTCATGTGACCAGTGGCAACCAACCATCATCAGTGTGTCTGTAGTCTAACCTATATGTGGTTTGAAGTTTACAAGTTGTGCAGGTCTGCCTTAGAGCTTTCAAGATTTAGAAAGTATTTATTATCTTATTTGATCTTCACCACAATCCTATTGTTAAATAGTCCAAGTTGTGTTTTTATACTCATTTTGCAGATGAGGAAACAGAGGTTCATAAGGGTTAAGTGATTTGTCTAAAGTCACACAGCTAACAAGTGACAAAGCAGGGATTTATACCCAGATCTTCCATTTCCAAGTCCAGTACACTTTTCACAACTTCAAGTCCAGACTTCCACAAACTGTCAGGGAGGGCTCTATGCTTCACTCGTTTATTATGTTCTTTATGGCCCCTGTCCCTCAAAAATATTTACAAGTAACTCAGTATTACGCTCTGCCTATCTACATCACTTCACTGCAATACCCCTACCTAGACTTATTCTTCATTGACTCTCTCGTTCTCTTTACTTTTTCCAACCTTTGATAACCTTATAAAAAGTTTCTTTCCCCCTTGTCCTTAGGATTTTTCTCTGCTAGGGTGTAGCTAGTAAAGTTCATAAACGAATGTACTAAGGTACATTAACTGGATGGGTTAACATGTTACTCTTTGCAGCTACCACAGCTCTTTTAAACTGGGGCCTGCTAGAAATAATATCTGAGCTCAAAGTTTAATTCTAATGGCAGAAACTTTAGGAATTGTAGTGGGAAAACATTTTTGGGGGAAAAGAGAGCTCTTCCCACCTTAAGTCAAATCCTAACACAGGTGGCTGCCCTGTCCACCTGAAGTAGCCCTGAGTTGGGATGGAAGGCAGAAATCCTCTCTGAGGTCCCACATTCCCCTTCTGTGGCTGTTTTCACATTGTGTAAATGTGTGTGTGTCTGTGTGTGTATTTAAGGACAGAGATAAGATTGTCCTATAAGTAAGGAAAAGTTTTTAGGGCAGGTCTCTGTCTCCACACCATTCACCTTCCCACAACATCTGACACTTCAAAGGTTTCTTCAGGGATGCTCATTTGAGGATTGGGGGAAGGTGTTCAGTGGACAATAGATAATGGTAACTTCAATCCAGAATGGAATCACCACAGTCTATCTGAATACAGACGGGCCTGTGAGCACTGGACCATCATCTCATGCTAAGGGTATCAAAGATATCAAACTCTCCCAGCCAAGTCCAGACAGATCTAGGCAAAGCAAATGGTATATAAAATTCTATACTGATCACAAAACCTTTGCTGATTTCTTCTGCCCTCTGTCTCTACAGCCCTCTTGACCTGTAGAATGTAGAGGCTCAAGACAACATTGTATACAGTAACAATAACGTTGTTTTAAGAATGACTTTGAGTGACTAAGTCATTTTAACTATTATAAATACACAAATCAAAAATAAAGGACATAGGAAGAAAGGCTCATTTACATGTGCATTACCCTCCAAGTCTGGTATGTTTCTGTCCTTGAAAAATAGGCGCTTCTTAGGAGGCTGTGAAAATTTCTCATAATTCAATACCCAGGTATTAAACACTTGCTTAATGTGTTTGGGCACCGTGATGGGCACTGAGGGGGGAAGGGGACACTAGGGAGTTTAAGTGAGAAATGAGCACAGTGGAGAGATTAAGAGAACAAAGATAACTATAGTATCAAAATAACACTTGGTAAATATGTGAGAGGCAGCTAGGTGATGCAGTGGATGGAGCACTGGGGTTGGAATCAGGAAGACTCACCTTCCTGAGTTCAAATCTGGCCTCAATTACTAGCTGTGTGACCCTGGGAAAGTCACCTAACCCTGTTTGCCTCAGTTTCTTCATCTGTAAAATGAGCTGGAGAAGGAAATGGCAAACCACTCCAGAATCCTTGCCAAGAAAACCCCAAGTGGGGTCACAAAGAGTCGGACATGACTGTAACTACTGAAAAGCAAAAATGCAAACAAAGTTCACCTTGAGGTCCAAGAGCGAAGATATTATTACCAACTTAATGGGATGTTTAAGATGGCCAAGTGCCAGAGTGGGGAATATGAGAACAGGAGAATTAAGGAAAACAGCAAGCATTTATTAAGCACCTCATATGTGCCAGATACTGTGCTAAGTACTTTATAAATATTATCTCATTTGATCCTCACAGTAACCCTGGGAGGTAGGTGCTATTATTGTCTCCATTTCACAGTTGAGGGAACTAAGACAAAGGTTAAGTGACTTACCCAGGGTCACACAGATAGCAAGTGTCTGAGACTAGATTTGAACTCAGGTCCTTCTAACTCTGGGCTCATCATTCTATCTATTACACTTCCCACTTACCTTGCCTCTCTATACCTGAATTTCTGTTAAAGTCTCCTTGCTATCTCTCCCCAAAGCCCCCCCCTTCCAAAAAAACCCAAACTACAGAACATCTAGCTTTTTGATGCAGGGTAAAATTTGGAGCTTTTCATTTGTTGTTCTTGTCTAGGTATTTGCTTCCACCTTATACGTTACTTTTCATGATTTTTCCTTTTGTGTTTTCCGTTTTCTGCAGAACCCAGTGAACAGATTTAGAATGGGAAGGATCTTAAGGATCATATAGTCCATCTGCTTTATTTTACACACGAGGAAACTGAGTCCCAGAGAGGTTAGGTACCCTGCCCAAAGTCACACACACTGCTAGAAGATAACAGAGCATGGATTTCAACTGATGTTCTTTTACTCCAAATCCAGTACTCCTTCCACTAAGCCATATTGCCTCCCATAAGAGGAACACATATTTGTGTTTCTGATACAATCTGCAAGCTATTCTGACCTTAGGACTGAAAGAGACTTTCTCCTAGTATTTTAGATGAATTAGTTCCTTGCCTTTGTGGGTTTTTGTTGTTGTATGTTTTTTTTCCCTTTCTCTCTTTCTGGTGAACAAAACCAAAAATAATTGCAGCCTTAAAGAGAAGTGTATTCCAGCAAATTACTGGAAGGAAAGGGCAGAAAATGGGGATGACCTGGAGAAGTCCATTCTCACTGTTAGTCTCAGCAAGTTCTGATGGCAAAGATTATAAACACCATGTAGTAATGAGCTCCATCCCCATTTACAATACTTCAAGGATCTCAATTCAATAAATATTTATAAAGCATATACTATATGGCAAACACTATGCTAAGCTCTTCAGAAACAAATAAGAAAAAGAAGGACGGTCCCTGCCCTCAAGGAACTTATAATCTATTGGGGGAAGACAACGCACAAAAGGAAGCTGATAAGCACAGGCGGGGGGGGGGGGGGGAGCTAGAAGGGACATTTGAGGGCATCTACTGCAAGCCCCTAATTTTCCAGTTGAGGATATTGAGGCTTGAAGAGTAGAAAGTTATTTGCCCAAGTTCAGACAATTGGCTAATGGCAGTCTCAGTTTCCTCATTTGTAAAATGGGAATAATTATACCCACCCTGCCTCTTTCAGTATGTGATTGTGATATAAAGACCATGCAATCAATTCACCATTAAATATTGATTATACCTACTACCTTCCAGGAGAACAGCTAGGTTTGGGGGCTTCAAAAGCAAAAATGAAACAGTTTCTACCCTCAAGAAGTTTACAGGCTATCTGGGGAAACAGCATGCATATATAGAAGTAAATGCAAAAATTTATACACAATACATGCAAATAAATGGAGTGGGAGAGGCACAGGACTACTCCTTGGATGGATTGGAAAAGTCAATGAATGTGAAAGTGTTTTGAAGAATTTAAGGCTCTATAAAATGTAAGAGATGATTATGATTAATAATCATAATTATTAATGATTGATTTACAAATTATGATCAATTATCAATGTTATTTCATTGTTAGCAATGACTAATCATCATTATTCATCATTTGAATTAAGCACTTGAGAGAAAGGCAAATAGTCATTTCTTGTTCTTTCAAATATATCTTTTCAAGATAGTAGAAAAATTGGGAAGTCATTTCACATTCTTTTCCCAAGGCCTTATGATATTCCCATGGATCTCACATAGGATAAAGGAATCTGATTCTCTGTGATTTTGAATTCAGATTGTAACTCCTCGGATTGAGACATAAACCCAGCTATTGTGGGGGGTAGGGAGGGTTGTCACTAGTTGCTATGAATTCTTCTTTACAGAGGCCTGTACTGTGTATCCATTAGGGTGGAATGCCTAGCCCGCCCTGATAGGCTGAGTCTGTGTAATTGCCTAGGGAGAAAGCGGAGACAGAAATAGAGATGGAAGCTCCACCCCCCCCCCCCCCCCCCCTTTTTTATAGCCATGTGGTTTGATAGCGAATGAGTTTACCTTTATCAGCCTGTCTTAATCCTACGAGATTGTTGTCTCCTGTGAGGCAGCTAGACAGAGTGGATTCATCCCAGAACTTGCAATAAAAAAGACCCGCGTCTGAATCCTGCCTTATTCGCTTAACTATATGACCGCACTCGTCACTCAACGAGAGAGATCAACCTCAGTTTCCTCATCTGTAACGTGGAGATAATGACAGCGCTTACTGTACGTGGTTATTGTGGGGACCAAAATAAGGACTCTGCAAACCTTGAAGAGTTATATAAATCCCAAAAGAAATGGTGCTGATGAGGCTGTTGGTATAGATCGCAGGGGACAGAATTTGCTCCAGGTTGTCAACATGGATGGGGTTAGGAGGAATTCGTGCTTTTTTCACTGTGTGACCCATTACCAACCCAGTACCTTGCTATGTGGTTCTGCTTGTCTGGGACTTCAGCATGAAGCCATCCAGCCTTTTGCTTTTCCCTCTGATGGCCACTTCTGTGTTAGTAAGAACACCCATTGTCATGTTGGGCATGGGGGATGAAATGACACTAAATTTAATTTAAATTTTTCTCTTCCAAAATTCTGGGGACCACCATGGACACACAACTAATTGTTTCTGTGCTATAATTATGGCATCAGGTGTTTCTTCTGTCATTTCATTATGTATTAGATAGATATGAGGGGTCTGATCAATAAAAGGAAGGTGAATTCTGGGGTAATTGAAAAAACAAAGGTAGCAGGGAACACATAATTAAAAAAATACCTTCTACCTCAGTAGCAGAGAGGGGGAAAACTTCTAAAAGAGAATATTGTATCCATCATCCCAGCACTTAGTGCAATGACTGGCACACAGTAGGTGCTTAATAAGTGTTTATTGATTGATTGTTCAATTCAGTTTCTGTATTAGCTGTTTTTGCTTAGATTTTCTTCGTCATATTAAAGGGTTGAATCTGGGGGGTGGGAAATAATTGTGATGAAAAACAAAAGGTATCAATGAAAAGTATTAAAAAATAAGGAAGAGAATACTATAAAAAACAAAGGTGATTGAGTACAAATGAACTTCATCCTTTCTATTTCTTATGTTCTCTTTCCGCCTTGCACTAGGATGTTGTTACAACAGGCCCACCTTTCTGCATTCCATCCTTTTGTGTTCTTACAGAGTAGTTGTGCTGGAGTGAAGGAGGTGGGCTTTGAGAACAACATTTCAGATGATGAAAAAATATGGAGTTTTATTCAAATTCTGGAGAACCCTCAAATGTGGTTCTTAGACAGTTCTGTTCTCACAAGAAGCCCAGAGGTGTGTCTAGGAAGAATTTTAGGTGCCAAAAAAGCTGTTAATATAAATTATGCATTTTTTTTCCTTTCAGGAACTACTGCCAGTAACACAAGAAGTAAGTCTTTTTTATGTGCATTCACTTACAACTGGTTATAGTAAAGGTGGACTTTTGCATCATTAGATTTTGTGGAAGTCTAATTTTGTACAAAAGATAAATCTGGGAGTGGGAACAGAGGAAATTATCCTCTCCAAAAAGGGAATCCTTTGCTCCCCCCCAATCTTGAATTTTTAATTTTTCATTCTCAACTTAAACACTAAATTGGCTGAGCATGGCAGCCTATACCTGTAGGCAACATGGGATAGTTAGTAGAGAGAACACTGACCTTGGAGTCATGAAGACACATGTTTTCATCCAGACTCAGACACTTGCTAACTGTGTGACCTTGGGCAAGTCATCTAACCTCCCTGAGACCTACTTACCTCATCTGTAAAATGATGGGTTTGGACTCAATGACTTCTAAGATCTCTTCTAGCTCCAAAATCTACTATCCTTGCTCCTGGGAAGGCTGGGATCAGTGGATCACTTAAGCTCAGGAGTTCTAAGCTACAGAGGGTTATTACTAATTGGGTGTCTGCAACTAAATCTTGCACCAGGAATGATCATCGGTGGGCCACTGAATTTCTATCTTGGGCAAGATAAAGAGACTCAGTTTCCAAAAATGAACAAACAAAAAACCAAACACGCAATCACCAAAGCAAAAAAAAATCCCATCCAATAAAATGAATGTTTCTACATACATAAACAGAAGAATAGTATTGATTGTAGATAAAACTGAATTAGTGGGGGGAAAATATACAAAATTTGCTTTTTTTCTTCAAAAAAAATCATATAATAAATTCAACTTGTAACTTTCAAAGTTGCATGCTTTAAAATACTGTTTCTATAATTAGGCATCTTTCTGAGGACATTTAGAATAGAATTTTAACTGATCAAAATTCACTAAACTCACTACTTTTCAGAAAATCTTTATTTTTAGATTGGTAGGGATTTCTTGGCTAATTAGAGGTCTGGAAATGGAACCAGTTAAATTTATTCTGTATTCTTGTTTGCATGAACAGCTGAAACATTTAGCTTTGTGAAAACAGCAGATACTCTGGAATCTAATTGTAAGTCCTAAACTCCATTCCTCATCAAGTAGTTCTGTCTGTGTTCTTCTTTAGAGGTCCCTATAGGATGATTGCCCATCATTCTGACTGTAGTTGAAATTTAGAATGGATATCCTTGTAGAGAGACCTGTCCTCTCAGATTCCTCATTGGCTGGACCCATCTATTTCCAGAGGTACATATGCTGATGGGGCAACGGAGACAGCAAAGTCAACCACATCAAGGAGAGAACATCTGAATTTGATGAAAAGTCCCTAGAAGAGAACTAATCTATTTTTTCCCTCTTTTCTGTCTGTCTCTTTGTCTCTGTTTCTATCACCCTGTCTGTCTTTCTCTTTTTCCCTCCAGAAATAACTTTCCCAGCTACACTACTCACTTTCTGAGATGCACATCCACAAGTCTCTTTCCTAACCAAACTGACAAATCCAATGTTTCACCTGTTCAGGGGTAGGTTTTCTTAGCAGCCTCAGGCCATACCTGTTTCCACTCACAGTGGTTTCTTTCTGTGGCCCAGAATTAGTCCAAAATTTTTCCACATACAATTGATTCTCACAATTTTTTTTCTAATTGATAGGGCACCCAGAGAAATATTTCCGAGATATCATATGGGATTATTACTCTTAGTTAGGAAGAAAACTCTACCTTCCTCCAAAGTCTCACTTATTTTAAAGATGAGACTCAAGCTTTATCAACCTTTGACCCACTTTATCTTTCCCTCCAATCATAGGACTCAAACCTGAACGTTGTGTAAAAAGTCCAGGACTTATGGTGTAAGGTCATAGGTTTAAGCTCAGAATTACTAGTTTTCTCACCCTGGGCAAGTCATTTCCACCTCTCTATCTCAGTTACCTGATCTTTAAAATGGGGATACTAGTTCTTTGCTTCTTAACTGAGAGGGTTGCCCCAAGGAAAATGCTTTATGAACTGTAAGAGCCCCTGAAAATGTAGACTCTTCTTATTCAATCAGATTTGATTGTGGGAAGAACTCCTGAGTAGAACACCAAAGGAAGAGATTGGTTGGTGCATACATGAGAACTTTAGGGAGCAATGCAGAAATAGTGACCTCTTATTCATAGGTTCTAACTTATGAGGAGTCCTTCCTCTTGGGTCCCTGACCATTCTGACTTGTGCACAAGTCTAAACAATTTTCCCTTTGAAATTCAATTGAAACAAGTTGAAGCTGAGTCAGTTTCCTTTCCATCTGGGTCCAATGCAGGTCTGCTTCTGAGACTAGTCAACAGAGGGAACAGGTGTCAGGGTCGAATTGAGGTTCTTTACCAAGGATACTGGGGTACTGTCTGTGATGATGGCTGGGACACAAGAGATGCCAACGTCGTCTGCAGGCATCTTAACCGTGGCTATGCAGTGTCAGCCCCAGGAGGTGCCTGATTTGGTCAAGGCACTGGAAACATTCTCCTGGATGAAGCGAATTGCTCTGGGATGGAGTCCTACCTGTCCAATTGCCCTCACCATGGGTTCTATATTCATGAATGTGGCCACAGAGAAGATGCTGGAGTTACTCGCTCTCACTCAGGCGGTGTTTGTTGTTCAGTCATTTTAGTCGTGTCTGACTCTTCACGACCCCATCTGGGATTTTCTAGGCAAAGAATAGTTTGCCATTTCCTTCTCTAGCTCATTTTATAGATGAGGAAACTGAGGCAAATAGGGTTAAGTGACTTGCCCAGAGTCACATTGCTAGTGAGTGTTTGAGGCTGGATTTGAACTTAGGAAGATGAGTCTTCCTAACTCCAGGCCACTATACCACCTAGCTGTCCCACCTAGGTAGTATCTCTCTGCAGATAGTTTCTTCTGTTTTCATGGGCAGCATTTCCTGAAGGGGATGATTCAGTGAAATTCTTGCTTCACCACGGGGACTCTCTCTGTACTTCCTTTTACCTTGTCTCTCTTACAGTAGCCTCTAGAGATTTTCATACAAAGTCCCATCAGTCTGATTTTGTTCATTGGAATCATGGCTTCCTCAGTGAATATAACGAGGTTTTCCTCCCTGGCGCTGCCTTCAGAAATGATGCTCATAACTTGCTGTGATTTCCAGCTGATGAACTCAGAATACGCAAGATCTTGAAGTCATGCACCAAGCAAGGTTCAATATTTACTCCTCCTCCTGACAATGACAAGACTGATTTCCTGGCTTCTTGTTCTGGCAGTACTCTTTTTTTTTCTTGAGTTTTACTTCTGCTACTTTTAATTTTTAAAATGCCAGCTACAAAACTAAAAAGAGTTCCTTTTTCTGTTTAATTTTGATTTTCAGGGCAGGGTAGGGCCTAGACGTGATTTTATTGGTAGAGAGAGTTTACAGAAGCATCTTGCTGTACCAAGGCAAGTCAATTTCTATACAGTCTTGGCGAATTGCCTGGGGCACAGACGGGCCATAACTTGCTCAAGGTCACACAGCCAATAAATATGTGTCCGATGCAGGACTTGAACCCTGGGAGGGCACCTCAGTCTCCATTGTTCCATGATCTATGTCAACTTTGATTATAAAAGTTTAATTTTTATTTCTAGAAAATGACATATAGACAAGTGATACTATCAATGTATTATATGGGAACAATTTATGGGAACTTATGGAATATGGGAACAACCTGTTTATTAAGTTTTGAAATTTCATATTTTATTTGTGTGGTCTATGATTCTGTATTTAATGACCCTTTTACCGTTTCAGCTATTGATAACAAACTTCTATTATGTCCCTTGTATATAAACTTACTTAGAGAAAGCTCTATCCCTTAGAAAGGGGCTCTTAATCTAGAGTCTACAAACTTTAAAAAATATTTTGCTATCTGTATTTTAATAAAACTGATTTCCTTTGTAATCCTACATATTTTATGTGTTTAAACATTATTCTGATAGTAATATTGATAATAATAATAGCTAGTATTTATTTAGTGCCTTAAGGTTTTTTATTAAGTGCTTCACAGATGTTATCCATTTGATTCTCACAACAATACTGATATTATTATCCTCATTTTACAGAGGTGGAAACTGAGGCAGACAGAGGTTACATGAATTGCCCAAGGTCACCCATCCAGTAAATGTTTGAGTCTGGATTTGAATTTAGATCTTCATGACTCCAAGTCTAAGACTTTATCTACTGTACCACCTAGACTGCCAAAGGGGTTCAAGAAATGAAAAAAAAAGTTTAAGAACCCCTCAACTAAGAGGAGTTAACTGCTCTCAATCAGTCCTCAGAAAGATGAGCCTTCAGGTCCAAGCCTGCATGTATCCCCAGGCCCAAGATTTTGTCTATTTCAATCTCTACACTGTTTTTCTTTCCATATATTTTGGGACTATGGCAGACACTAAATATAAGCTCCGTTTTTTTAAAGTCCTGGCTCCAGGGAAGTGAATGCATGACCCTTTGTGACCAGGGCTCTAGTTACTGCTGGGTAGGAGCATTCAATATTATCATCTCAGCTTTTAGGGCTCAAATTGTACCACAGTGTCTGTTTTTTTCTGGATGCAGGACTTGAGTAGGGGGGGAAGAGGAAAAAAAAAGCATCATTTCACAGATGCTTTGGATTCTACCTGCTGTTCCCATTTTTTCAGCTCTTAAAGTATCAGTATTACAAGAAAAGTATTCTTTAATGTTGAGCCTTGGTGCTGTACTCCTACCATTTTGGTGTGATTGTATTTGTATGTAATAGGTACAATTATTTTATAATGTTTACAGCAATATGATATTTAAAAACTTGCTTTATTACCATCCTTCCTGGGAATTTCTACTCTATGTCCTTTTCATTTTTGCCTACGTTGACAGTTTTGATATTTTAAGAAATATGTTATACATAAGATGATATCCAAACATGATCTGCAGGCTAGTGGTTTGCTTTAGGTTTGATTACTGTTGGTAATAGTGGTGATGGGCTCTGTGATCTCTATGCAATCCCATGAGATATCCATAACACACATGCGAAGGAGACTTTCAGAACACGGGTCTTGGAGTCAGAAAGACCAGATATTAAGTACTAGCTCTTTGTAGCAGAATAGACCTTAGCAAGTTAATTTATTTCTTTAGGCAGCAATTTCTTTACATGTGAAATGGGACACTATTGTCCTAATCAAGTTGTTGATAAGAAATTAGAAGGTATAGTAGATGAAAATAGTGGAGTTAGGGAAATGTGAGTTTGATTCCAATGCCTCTGACACTATCTGAAAATCAAGAAGGTGGTTAATCTTGCTCTGTGCCTCAACTTCACTTGTAAACAGGCATAATAAGGAATCATTCCTTCATATGGTTGGTATGAGTGAGGCTTACGTGTGATAAGGTGTGTGAAGTGTTTTGCGAGTCACAAGGTATTTGATAAATGTTAACTCATGATTTTTAAACCCTAAAGCACAACAAAAATGAGAGTTACCCGCTACTGTTAGCGTAAGTGATGCTTGTGGTCCAGAACTGTGTGATTTTAACACTGGGATGTTTTTCTCTTCATAAGTATCCAAAGGACTTAGAGGTAGATGAGATTTAAGAATACATTTGCACAGGAGAGAAGTGAGGGCCAGAGAAATTAGCAAAATGCTGCTTTGCCCCAAATAATCATCATGATAGCTGGCATTTATGTTATAGTGTTTCAAAGTTTGCATCTTATCATAGGTTATGTCATTTGAGCCTTACACCAGCCACGTGAAGTAGGTGCTGTTATTGCTACCATTTTACAAATGAAGACACTGAGACTGAGAGCAGTAAAGTGACCTGCCTAGGGTCACATAAGTAGTGAAGGTCTGAGGTAGACTTCAGATTCAGGTTTTCCTGACTCAGACTCATTGTCACTAGGTGTGTCCTGGACCACCTTATTTTTGATTCCTTCCAAAAAAAAACCATTCTGAAGACCTTATTTGTCATTCTTAAGAAGAAAGTTTGCAATTTTTCTGGGTGGGTGTAATGGAGCATTACATGAGACTGAATTAAATTTTTTTTTCTTCTAGCAGCAATAGTGGGTTCAACTATTTCCTGGAACAAGAAACCAGTGGTCCCTGGAATAAATAATTCCTTCTATATAGCCATTCCTCTGTGTGAATTTGATTCACAAGATTGATGCAAGAGATATTAAAATAGAAGCATGATACTTTTTTTTTTTGCTTAGAAGGGAGTAAATCCATTTCAATGAAATTCAGTATACTGTATATTTATTGAACCCTTTGTTACATGTAAAAACTTGTGCTTGATGCTAGAGGTACAAAGACAAAAGAAACGATACCCTTCCTGCTCTAAAGGGGTTATATTTTATATATCCAAATCAAAATCAAAACTAATGATTGGGGAGAAGAATACAGAGGGAGATCACAGTGGTGGCAGCTGACCTGAAGCCTAAAGACAAATATTCTGATAGGCAGATATGAGGACCAAGTGCATTCCAGGCACAGAGAATAAGCTGGCTTGTGTGAAGGCATGTTGTTGTTTGTCCTTTGTTTTTAAAGAGAACAAATGATATTGCAGGTGATATCATGACTTGTGTATAAAATTGGATTTAGGTGAGGCAGAATTACATAAAGTTGTTAGCCTCACTCTCTTCCTGAGTCATCAAAGTCCAGTAGCAAGGCAAAAGTCAAGGTGATTGGTGATGGTCCCGGATGCAATCCCTAGAAGGGGTAGATTCCTTGTGGGTGAAACCATATTCAGGAATCATTCTAGAAGTAGTCAAGTCAATGACCACTTTTTATTTCTCTTGCAAGGGAAATAGGACAGTTCAAATCAGCTCTCAGATAGGAACCTTTTTTTTTTTTAACACCTGGAGTACAAAAGATGTCCTCTTTTTTCTTACTTTTTTCCTCTTTCCTTTCCTTCCTGTCTTCATTTTTTTCTCCCTCTCTATTTCTTCCTTTGCTTTGCCTTTTTAATCTTCTTTTCCTCTTTTTTCTTTTCACCTTTTCTCATTCTTCAAATAACTCTATTTTGTAAGCTCAGCAGATACATTTTTAAAAAAATTTGGTTAATACTTTAGGTAGGGAGACCAAAAAGGCGTGACAATGAAGAAAGGACCAGGTTAGGGTCTGATTGTATTATGGGGATGAAATTATTATAACTAAGGTGCCATGTGGGCAAAAGAAGACTTACAAGTGTTGAAAATAAAATTCATACCAAACTTTTTAAATGTCTTATGTAAGACAAATTAGGAAATTTTAAGATTGGTTTATTGATAACCTATTGATCCTCTAACCAGAAAAAGTATATGGCATCAATGGATGTAACAAAAAGGTTGGATCCTTGATGTGGATGGTGTTTCTTCAAGCTCTGGTACATTTTTCTTTGTGCTAATCTGACCCTATTCTGCCTTAATTTCAAATTTATTTACATCTTATCCAATCCTCTCAAGTTGAAAACAGATCCAGAGAAGGTGACAACATGATGCTTTCCCAAAAGACTATCTAAGGAAGCTTCCAATGCCCATATTTGTAATAATTAATAAGACAATGAGCAACCACTTTGAGGAAATACCCTGTAATCTGGAGATGATATTGAATTGGAACTTTTCTCTTTCAGGAACAACAGGCTTTGGAACTAGTGAGTCACCTTTATACACAGCAATATATGGAACAGGTAATGCTTCTATCTTGCCTTTACCTTTTTGTGAATCTCTAATGAGTTTGGACAGAGAAAAGGGTTGATGTGGTTATGTAAGCATCATTAAATCTCAGTGTGGATTCAGTTCAATTTATTCCACATACATTTATTAAATACATCACATGGTCAAGGCATGTGGTAGTCGCTGCTGATATATAAAAATCAACACATTCTTGCCTCAAAGAATTTGCAGTTTGCTAGGAGGAGGCATGATGTATACACATAAGAATAATAAAAAGTAAATGGAGGAATAGAGGATTAAAGGAATGAGAGAAGAGATGAAGGAAGACTTTAAGATGGATATGGCACCTGAGGTGAACCTTGATGAAAGTCAGGCATTCTGAAAGACAGAGAGAGATGAGAAGGAAGTGTATTCTAGGTAGAAGAGATAGCTCTTGAGAATGCATGTGGGTATATCAGACACAGGGTCAAGTTCAAAGATCAGCTAGTTGTATATACTTATACTTTATAACTTCTTATGTAAAATCATCTCACATTAGCAATCTGCATGTGAAGAGACGATCATTTCTGAATGTAGAATTTCTAAAGCCCAGGGCCTCACATCTGTTATTTCATTATCAAATAAATCACTGTGGATACACATATAAAAATGGATACATTCCTGTGCCTCAAAATTTGCAGTTTGTTAAGGGGCTGCATGATGTATGTACATAAGCATAATATAAGGTAAGTAGAGGCATAATGGATTCTGATGCAGGAGGAGAGTACTAGGAGAATGAGGGAAGACTTCACAGTGAAGATGGCACCTCGATAGAAGTCGGATAGATAGTAGATAGTAGATAGTAGATAGAAGTCGGATATTCTGAAAGACTGAGAGAGATGAGTAGGGAACATATTCTGGTCAGAAGGATTAACTCCTGACAATGCACACGAGCATATCAGGTATAGTGTCAAGTTCAAAGATCAAATAAAGATCAAATATATACTTACACATCATAACTTCTTAGATAAAATCATCCCATATTAGAAAGACTTTCTGTAGCTAATCTACATGTGCAGAGATGGTCATTTATGAATGTAGAATTTCTAAAGCTCTGGGCCTTACATCTATTGTTTTATCACCAAACAAAATAGCAGTCCTGTGGCTGACCATCTATTCTGAGGGGATCTATATTTGTTGAATCAAAAGTGAGAGTATTGACTGCTTTTTTGTGGGGTATTGAGGGGGCAGAGAGGAGAACATGGAGACATTTTTGCCATGTTCAAATTGTGATTAGAGATGTGAATCAGTAGTCCCCTCTCAACATCCAATTAACTCAATAAGCAATCTTGAGTCAAAGTCATTCTCTTTAGTTCAGAAACCCTGATTTGAGAGGCTGGGCCTTCAATAGCCACTAATCAATATAGGGTGCCCTAAAAGTGCAGTTTTAAGCCTTAATACATTAAGACTAAGACTTTTGAAACAACTTTATTTATTTTTGCTCTTCATAAAACATACCATCATCAGGTGCTTGCATCATAGACAGACTGCTGGACTTGGAATCAAGAAGACTCTGAGTTGGAATCCTTCCTTAGACACTTATAAGCCATATATGACCCAGGTCAAGTCATTTAATTTTCTTGATCTCAGTTTTCTCATTTCTAAAATGGGGATAATAAGATCACCAATCCCAAAGGGTTATTGTGAGGATCAAATGTGATACTATGTGCAAAGCACTTTGAAAACTTGAAATTATTATAGCATTAAGAATATGTCTGTATTACATAAATTAGCCATTCCCATTATAATTTTTAAATCGACCATACTGAAAAAGATAGATGAACTTTATTTCTGAGAATATTTTGTCGGAGATCAAGAATCCCAACACAAGGCCTCAGAAGGTTGATATGGATCGTTTTGTACAAAGGAACTTGGCATTTATTTCTGACAAGATTATTTTCACTTTGACAACTTGAAAAATTGGCCTCTCTAGGGATGGAAATCATCAGAAGGTCTGCCATAATGCTTAATGTCCAGGTTTAGAAAACCACATGAGAATATAGGAGATTCACATGGACCTCAAAATGTTTAATCCAAAGTTATTTACATGGTCAATGTGTTCCATATCTCATCAACAACAGTTGAAGTTTTTGGGTCCAGAAAGTGACCATTGGGACATTTACAAATTACTGTTGTTCCAATCCCTCAGTGTGCTATGCTGTCTCAGAGCCTGTCATGCATATGACTGAGTATGAACCATCTTGCAAAGATGTCCCTGGCCAAGGAGACATAGTATGGAACAAGTAATTCCTGTTCCATTTTCCTACTTTCCAAATTCTTATTTATTCATAGAAGAGGTAAATGCCATCTGGTTTGAAACCATAAAGAGGAATTACTCTGGATGTGAATAGCTCAATACTAATTTTCTGTGAGAGAAACAGGATCATCTTTCAAATGTTAAGTATATTTCCATAGAAACTTTTCCCATCACTTTGTGGAGGACAAAGTTTCTTCCCATTCCTATTTCTCTCGGTTTTCTTCTTTGTTCTTTTTTCCTTCCCTGCCTTCACTCATTCTTCTCTCTCTCCTTGTTTCATTTTTTTCCTTTCCTCTCTCATTCCCACTTTCCTTCAATGTTCTGATCACTCAGATAAGCCCAAACACACTTTATTGTTGATACTTAGTTTCTTGATGCTACTCAAGGAAGGCTAGAGCTTGATCAATCATTCCCATTTTATACCTATTGTAGATAAAGAAATGGAGCCTGAGAATTTTAGGGATTGGCCAAAGATGATCTAGCTAATAATTGATAAAGAGCTGAGACTTGAAATCAGATTTCTTACTTTTTTGGTCCAGTGACTTTAGCTCTTGGTTCTTGACACCTAATTGGACCTCATTGTGTTTGACTCTGTAAGAGCTATGTTATACTGTTTAGGATGCAGTGGTAACACTGGTAATAGTTATGTGGCTAAAAGTAGCACGTTTTCTTTGGTCCCCCACAAAGGTCAACCAGCATAGCTCAGTGATGTCCCTTGAAATGAATCCCCTTCACACTACCCTCTTGGTATTCTTCAAGGAGAGAGTGCACCATCACTAGTGAGGAGTGTTGTAATGGGAATTCCATTCATACATGTGTTGGTCTAGGTTGCTGTTAGGGTTCCTTCCAAATCTCAAATTCTGTGACTGTGTGAATTTGTTGTTGATATTTGTGATTTATGCTATGTACATCCCTCATTCCTTGGTGGGCTGGGAGCATTGACTTCTTGTTCCTACCTAGGACATCTGTCTCTAAAATTGGTCCATGTATGATTTGACCTTCTCTCTCTTGTAGAAGCTGGTTCATCAAGTCCACCCGACCTTGGTAAGTCTCAGTTCTTTCTTGTTCATCATCATGGCTTTCTATGTGGGAAAACCCTGATTTATTTTCTGGTACTGTACAGAGATGATGTTTTTCTCCTCTGTAGTGTTATGTGTGAGATGAACAGAGATAATATTAATAAACTTTCTTTTAGTTCTAACCTCTAAATACTTCTTCCATCAGATTGACCCTTCCTGGGTGCTGTGATGGATCATGGATTTTGTCCTATCAACAAAGTTCCTTTATGGCTCCAATTATTATGAGTTAGCATTTGTTCTTTAGCCTTAGCTAAATTGCCATTTCTAACCAATTATATAAATGAGGATTTATCTCCCCTCTGCAGTTTAAAATACTAGCCTCTGTTGCTTCTGTCTATTCTCATCTTCTGTCGTCTCTCCCCTTTCACCTTCTCCTCTGATCTTTCTTCTCTTCCTCCTCCTACTTCTCTTCTTTTATTTTTGAATTTGATAAATCTGTTTTTTTCAAGCTATTATTTTGAGATAACTGAATAGTCACTGTGGTTTCTACCTGCTGTTCACAATTTCTCATCTCTTATGTTTACAATAACAGATTCTTTTTGAATATTTTCCTTTCCCTTACTATGCCTTGCCTTGCCTTGCCTTGCCTTTCTTTCCTTTCCCTCATTATTTCTTCCTCCTTTCAGCTTTCCATTGTTTTTCTTTGGTTTCTTCTCCATCTATTTTTCCAAGAACATATTATTGAACCTTGCATGATTTTAGCTCTTTAAAGAAATGCCTTTAATTCCAATTTATTTGCAACTTGTCCAATTCCTCTCATTTTAAAAACAAAGAGACCCACAGAAGGTGACAATATGATGTTCTCCTAGAAAACTATCCAAGGAAGTGCTTCTCATGCCCATATTTGTGGTAATGAGGAAATGAGCAGTCACTTTGAGGGAATGCCTTCTAATCCTGAGATGAGATTGAATTTGATCTTTTCATTTCTAGGAACGACAGACTTTCCGACTACTAAATCCCTTTTATACACAGCAACATATGGAACAGGTAATGTTTCTTACCTTGTCTTTCCCTTTTTGTGAATCTCTAATGAGTTTTAGTCAGAGAAGAGTTGGTACAAAGATGTGAGCATCTTTAAGTAGCAATTAAATTTATTCCACACCTTTTTATTAAATACATCAAATGTTCAAGGTTTATGCTAGTCACCGTGGATGCACATATAAAAAAGGATACATTCCTGTCTCCCAAAATTTGCAGTTTGCTAGAAGGCTGCATGATGTGTGATGATGAGCATGAAATAAGGTAAGCAGAGGCATAGAGGATTAAAGCTGAGGGGATGAGGGAAGATGTCTTGATAGAGATGGCGCCTGAGGCAAAGCTTGGTGGAAGTCAGGCATTTTAAAAGGCAGAGAGAGATGAGGAGGGAGTGCATTCCATGAGAAAGGGACAACTTACATGCATGTATGCAGGTATGACATAAAGTCTTGAGTTTGAGGTCTCATATCCTTTCATCTAACATCTCAGTTTTGAGATATATTCTCTATGTGCACAACGATGTCTATGGATAAATCAGGTTGTGAATAAATTCATCCTCAGTATCTCCTTAACTCATAGGGTTTATCTTGAAGCCAAAGCTTTTCCCTTCTGTGTACCCTTATGAGAGGAGATAGATCTTCAATCACTACTATTAATGAATAGTGAAATATATTTATTTGTTGCATTTATATGGTGTGTAGTCGTTATTGGATCTCATACTAGGCATGATGGCATTTTTGGAGAGTATTTTGAGAGAGTCTCAGGTTCCAAACTAAATCCTTTCCTCCACTCCATGCCAACCTCTCCTTCATTGGTTGCAACTTGTGCTTCTGGACATGTCTTTGTGGAATGTTCTTTGGTATTTACTTCCTACATTATTATTCTTGCCACCACAGCCCAGGAAACTGACCTTAACATGCACTCTTCTAATTTTTCCTTTCAGGAAGAACTCAGGGGATAAACCATGAGGGATTGTGGGCAGTCAGATAGGAGGGTTCACTGGCATCTTGTATTACTCAGTAGCCACGGCTGTCATGTGAAAGTGTTCTTTATACAAGGTCTTTGTGCTCATGTGGAATAAGGGATGAGAGTCCAGATTAAGCTCTGTTTGCTGATGTGTCATGTACAGGTATAGGTTCAGATTCCCATGAGGAAATGTGGGAGATCTAATGGAAGCTGAAGATTCTTTTTTTTTTGTTTTGTTTTGTTTTGGCTCAGCATTGGGATTAAGTGACTTACCCAGGGTCACTCAGCTAGTAAATGTTATGTGTCTGAGGCTGAATTTGAATTCAGGTCTTCCTGACTCCAGGGTTGGTGCTCTATTCACTGCACCATCTAGCTTTCCCTAAGGTGAAGATTCTTGAACACAGTGTAATCTACATGGGCCAAGATTCCCCATGTTTCTTTACCTGCTGATGAGGCTTTTTGGCTCCAGAAAATCACCTGGAACAATCACAAATTGCCCTTGTTCCATGTTCCCTGGTGTCAGTCATTGTATTATGTTCTAGAACATGTTGTAGGACTGAGTTGGGACCATTTTGATAGTATGACCCTAGCCAAGGAGGCAGAATGTGGACCAAGGAATCCTTGGGTATTTTTCCTGCTTTCCAATTTTCCTTGTCCCTGGAGGTGCTGGATGCTTTTTGTCCTGAAACCATCGTTAGAAATTATTCTGGATGTGGAGCAGGTCATTGGCATTTTATGCCAAAGAAACAAGAGGTCCAAATTAGCACTCAGATTTTATATGTCTTTCCAGAAAAAGGTATTTCATCATTTTCAGGAGGAAAATAGTACTTTCTACTTGCTTCTTCATTCTTCTTTCTTTTTTTTTTGTTTTATTTTCTTTCTGTCTTCTTCTACTCTTCTTCCTTCATTTCCTTTTATCCTTCACTTCCTCCTTTTTTACTCTTTTCACTTCTCTCCTTCCTCCTTCTTCAGATATATCCTTCATAGGCTAATCAGATCATTTTTTAAAGTTTTATCATGTTCATTAATTGGTGGATAGAGAGCACAAAGGCACAACCATGAACAAATGATCATTTTACTACCTGGTTATTATACAGTGGGAAATTCCTGCCCATTAATATGCTACAGGAGGCAGAGTTGAACTTAGAACGTTCATAAATAAAAATTCCAGTGAGATCTTCATCATATTATGTAGGATAAATCAGGGAATTTTTTTTGTTTGTTTTTGCTTAGGCAATCAAGGTTAAGTGACTTGCCCAAGGTCACACAACTAGTAAGTGTCAATTATCTGAGGCTGGATTTTTGAGCTCAGGTCCTCCTGACTCCAAGATCAGAGCTGTATCCACTGTGGCACCTAGCTGCCCCTTAAATCAGGGAATTTTAAGCTTAGCATGTTAATGATCTGCTGAGCTTCAGACTAGGGAGTAAAAAGGAAGGAGTAATATCTTTTGTGGATGGTATAGCCCTTTGGTATCCTTTTCATTGTGTTAGTTTTGCACTAAGACATGCCTAGAGGGCAGTTCCCACCTCAACAGTCTCAGCGCCTTCTGAGCTTTGAGGGAAGTCCCCAAGAGCCTTGAGATTTCATTTCTGAGGAAGGACACTGAAATGAAATTGTTCTCTCCCCCTCTCTCCCTCGGATTAGATTCTGGTCTGGCGTTGACACTGGTGAATGGAGGAGACAGATGCCGGGGTCGAGTTGAGGTGCTATACCAAGGATCTTGGGGCACCGTTTGTGATGATTCCTGGGATGTGAATGATGCCAACGTTGTGTGCAGGCAGCTGGGCTGTGGATATGCTGTGTCAGCTCCAGGAAATGCCCATTTTGGCCAGGGCACTGGCAGAATTGTCCTGGATGATGTGCGGTGTTCTGGATCTGAATCCTACCTGTGGAACTGTTCCCACAGTGGGTGGCTGACCCACAACTGTCAGCACAGTGAGGATGCCGGTGTCATCTGCTCAGGTATTGTCTCTCCGGGAAACACCTGCTGCTTCTTCTCTGGAAGGGCTCCTATGTTATAGGAGAAGGCTTCTTTTCAACTTCATATTAATATCCGTCCAATGAACTAAGACTGACATTAAGAATTCTTCCATTAGATACATCCCCCAAGTACTTGTTCAATCTGACAGACCCTTCCTGACCCCTTTGATGGACTTTGCGTTCTTACCTTGTCCTAGCAACAGGGTTAATATACATCTTCTGTTGTTTTAAATTAGGGCTTATTCTTCTGTTTCTTTGTAATGATTTCCCTAAAGCATTTTTCTGATAATGTCACTTCCTGTTCAATACCTCTATTTGAGGGAAGAGAAGGGAAAGAAAACACACTTAATTTTTTTTTTGAGGCAGTTGGGGTTAAGTGACTTGCCCAGAGTCACACAGCTAGTCAGTGTTATATGTCTGAGACTGCATTTGAACTCAGGTCCTTTTGACTCCAAGGCCAGAGCTCTATCTACTGTGCCATCTAGCTGCCCCAAGAAAATACATTTATTAAGCACCTACCCTGTTCCAAGGCCCTGTGCTAATCAATTTACAAATATTATCTCATTTGACTCCACAACAACCCTGTGAGGTAACTTTTATTGTCATTCCCCCTTTCCTAGCTGAGGAAACAGGTAGACAGAGGTTAAATGACTTTCCTAGGGCCATGAAGCTGGTAACTATCTGAAGTTGGATTTCCTCTCAGGTCTTCCTGGCTCCAAGCCCAGTGCTCTATCCATTGAGCCCCCTGGATGCCTCTGCTCCCTGTCATTTCTAAGATCAAAATAAGATTTTCTGTTTGGCATTTAAATGTCTTCCTGAGTTGTTCCCTTCCCATTTTCTCACTTATCACCTTTCTCCACATGCTACCGTTCAGCTGTGGGAATCCACGCACCACTCCTTACCCACAATGCTCTATTTAACTTCTTCCTCCCTTTTGTCCTCCCTCCTCCCCTCTGCCTGCCTCTGGCTTCTCAGGCTACCTTTAAGATGACTGTAAAATTGCTTTCCACAGGAAGCCTTTGCAATCCCTCTTTCTATTCCCCTGCCAAGTTTACCTTCCATCTCCTCTGCATGCAACCTTTCTAAAGAGTCATGTGTGTATGTATCGTCACTTCTATCAGAATGTAAGCTCCTCATGGGCATAGAATTTTTTTCTCTTCCTTCTTATCCCTCAGTGCTTAGTACAGTGCCCAGTGTGTCCTAAGTGCTGAAGAGATACTTGCTGGTGCATTTTAGGCACCTTGACAAACAAAATGTCTGCTGTAAAATGTGATTGTGTTTAAAGTTTGGACCTCATTCTTCTTACAGGTTCCACTACGCCGATTACACCAACCACTGGTAAGTCTGGTTCATTTTGTACTCAGCACCAAGGCTTTCTACTGGAGTACAACCTGCTTTCTTTACTAAATGATCCAGGAGGATAATGCTTTTTTCTCCTGCTGTGATATCCTTCCTATGAGCTGAGATCACGTTAAGAAGTCTCGGTTATAGCCCCAAAGTATTTGATCCTTCTGACTGGTCCTTCTGGGAAGGTTCACAGGTCCTGCTCTCTTGATCTAATCGTATCAACATTGTTTTGAGTTAGAGTTTGTCTTTATGATTCATTTAGTTTTATAAATACTGCCAAACAAAAAGCTTCTTTCTGAAGTGCTATCATATGTAATTTAATTCTTTTTTAGGCGAGCAGGGTCAAGTGACTTTTGCTCAGGGTCATACAGCTAATAAGGGCCTAAAGTAGGATTTGAACTCAGGTCCTCCTGATTCCAGGACAGGTGCTCTAACCACTGTGTCACCAGCTGCTCCTGAACTTTAATTTTAAATTCTCAGGTTATAGACAAGTACTTTTTTCTGTTATTCTTGTACGAATCACATTTAAGCCCTTTTCTCTGAAACGTGTTAAGTGTAGGTGATGTTCTTACCCACCTTTTGTTTTTTTTTAATTCTATGGCTTTACCTATAGTGACTCTTGAATTGTTCTAGATTCTTTTTTTTTTTTGGATGAGGTAGTTGGGATTGAGTGACTTGCCCAGGGTCACATAGCTAGTAAGTGTCAAGTGTCTGATGCCGGATTTGAACTCAGGTCCTCCTGACTCCGGGACTGGTGCTCTATTGACTGTGCCACCTAGCTGCCCCATGTTCTAGATTCTTAAACAAAAAAAGCTTCCTTTTTTTGTTTTTGTTTTTGTTTTTGTTTTTGTTTTCATGCAAACTTCATTAGAGAAATCAATCCACTAGGTCACCTTTGTGTTGCTTTTTCATCAGCTTAAAGAACCCCAAGCGTGTATTTTTATCTAAGTTTCCATACTTTAGGGCAATGGCTATGCCTTCCTTTTTTTTTTTTTTCTTAAATTTTTTTTTTTCTCTTTCTAGGTTGGTGGCGCTCAACAACTCCTTATGGTAAGCTGCATTTCCTTAAGTCCTTTAACCAGAGAAGAGCAAGGCTCATAGGGCACCAGGCTTGGTGGCTAATCTTGAGGCTGGCAAATAAGTATTATAGAATATCAATATTATCATTACCATTTGATTGATAAAGTGAATGAACTCAGTCTTGGATGCTCAACCCCTTTGTTGTTTTTCTAACTGTAGGAATCAAAGGTGAGCAGAAAAAGGATAATTTCAAAGATACTGGATATTAGAACTACTGCTTTTGCTGTAACAGCCGCTTCCCCTCCCCCGCCCAGATCCAGAAAAGTACCCCAAACTTCTAATTCATTGAAAGTCTCAGGACTGAACTCTGGGAATTTAACTATAGTATAAGGGCCTGTATCATGTATCTCACTTGAGCTCTGATTTTCCTAAACATTTACTTCTGTAAATTTCAGCCATCTCAGGCAATGTCTATTTTATTTCCCTTTAATTTGAGCTCTAGGTGATGGTATCAATCACTGTTCCGCATTTTACTTGAGGTCATGATATGAAAACATGGCCAATAGGCTGGCAGTTTGATCTAAATAATGTGTTCTATGAGGCTGAGATGTTCAATCTGAGCTATTCACAAATCTCCCACCTTTGAGATCCATGAATTTTGGAAAACAAACTTTCTGAGCACTGGTCTTGGAATCAGGGAATACAGATTTAAGTTCTTGCTCTTAGAATTGGTAAAATATGAGCAAGTCACTTCACTAGAGTCTTAGCTTCCTGATCTATAAAATGGGGATAATATTAATACTTAATATTAATGTTAACCAATATTAATACACTATTAATCTCATGAGGTTGTAAGGAAAGTATTTTATTCTTCCAAAAATGGATTTTAATGATATCTTTTGTTTTCACAACACCTACATTTCCCCATACATGCCCTCCTCCTCTTCCTGAGACCCATTCTTTTTAACAATTTAATTTTTAAAAAAAAGAAGAGAAGAAAATCAGCCAAACCAATCAGCACATTGAAAAAAGAAATTTAACATAATATTCCTCAGAGGCCATCCATTGCAATCAGTGGCTGAGCAAGAATTTCTTATATAACATATTCAATAAGTGGTCATCTGATCATGTTGAACACTTGTAGGGGGCTCCAGCTCTCAAGGTAGCCCATTTCCCTTTTGGATACTTCTTCTTATTTTTTATTTATTTATTTTTTTTTAGTGAGGCAATCGGGGTTAAGTGACTTGCCCAAGGTCACACAGCTAGTATGTGTCAAGTGTTTGGTCTGAGGCTGTATTTGAACTCAGGTCCTCCTGACTTCAGGGCCGGTGCTCTATCCACTGCGCCACCTAGCTGCCCCGGATACCTCTTTTTGTTGCAAGTTCCACCAAGTTTTGATTTATCTCTTCGTAATTTTCAACCAGCATGCCTACTTCTACTCTTTGAGGACGAACAAAACAAGTTTCTGAACAGCAACCCTTTAAAAACTTTAATCTGGCTATCACATCCTCTCTAAGGATTCTCTTCTCTAGGCTAAACAGTCTGAAACTCCTTCAACAGATTCTTACATGGCATGTCTCAAGGTGCTTCACTACCCTGGTGGTTCTTCAGCGGCTTTCCCACGTATTATTGTCTTCCCTAAAAAGTGACACTCCAAACCTAAGGTAGCAGCACTCCAAACCTAGGGTAGAGGTATGCTTCTTCAGGCAGTCTATTCTTGATACCCTGCCTCTCAGTGGCAACTTACCATTGTATCATCTACTCTGGTTACAAATCATCTGTCGACTCTGAGTTTACCCTTCACTGAAGTCTCTGGATCTTTAGATAGGATGCTGTCTGGCTGTGTCTTCCCCAGCTAGTATTTGTGAATTTTTAAACTGCAGGCTCAGACTCAATGAATTTCACTCGATTATATTTAGTCCAACATTCTAGTATGTTGAGGTCGGTCAATTTGCATCCTGATTCTATTACCCATGTTAATTTTTCCCTCTAGGCTTTACATTGCCGACAAGTCTGATAACCTATCATCTATGCCTTTATTCAATTCATTGGCAAAATATTAACACTGCCTCTGTAATAGCAAATGATATAAAAGAGAGACGTTTAGAATCACAAAATTTAAAAGTTGAAGCCTTTCTGAAAGGCCTTTTAGTCTAATCCACACTCAATTGGACGTGCCACTGTAACACACTCAGCCAGTGGCCGTCCATCCTCTGCTTGAAGACCACCAAGGAGGAGGCACCTCACCACCTTTTCAGGCAGCTCATTCCACTTTTCAGACAACTCTAATTGTTAGGACTTCTGTGCAACTTTGTGATGGAAGAAGTCATTTAGTGTCCTTTCTTTGATTTCTTGGGCATGGGTCAGTCTGATGTGAATTTCAGGGTAGGTGTATGGGAGTTGGGAAGCTTGCCTTCCCTTTCAAGGGGCCATCTTGATAGGAAGTCTCTTTGAGATTGATTTTCAAATCTGAGTCCGTTCTGAGAATCGACGATAAACTGTGCCTTTTCCATGGTACTTGGAAATGAAACAGAAATCTTGGCATTGTATACCAAGGACATGAGAATTCCAAGAGCCAGAAGAGAGGAACATAATACACACCATGTAGGTAGAGATCAAAGACACGATGTTGTCATCACAGTGCACTAAAATTTCAGGACGACGTCTGTTGGACTGAGACCCAAGCCCCAAGCAGCCTTTATGGAATCATACATTTAGAGCTGGAACAGAGTTTAGAGGTTGTCAAACTTACCCAACTCATTTTACAGATAGGGAAACTGAGGTCAGAGCGTTGAAATAACTTGCCTCAGGTCACATAGTCACATAGGTAGTGACGAGAGGAGCCAGGATTTGAACAGAAATGCAGCACTGTTTCCAGTGTGCCACACACAAGCCTACCAGAGCAGTCCCTGCTGGCTCTGGATCCTTCTTTTGAGGCTTCTGACATTTGTTCCTGATAGTGTTGGTCCCATTACCACATGCTCATTTAGTTCAACTGACGTGATAGATTGGGGATTTTTGTTGTTGTTG